AATACAAAACTTTAAATTTATTGAATACAGAACTTTATGAACTTACTTCATTGAATGCAAAACTGTGTATGTTTTCCTTTAACACAGACAGCAATTTCTGTACTGATAGCATTTGCATTTCTTTGATATAAAAGTCATTGTCTGCTGTATAATAGATTTATCAAAATTATCAATTTCCTAGTTTCAATCAGCAGGCCTTTTATGGTTCTTTCCGGGTATACTTAGAAGTTTCTTTCACCAATTGTCGATACTTCATGCCTAATCTTTTGTATTGTATTCTAAGATATTCCAGTCATGAGATGTTCTCTTCGAAACTTAAGGAAGAGAAGCTACCGAAGAGTTCACTGAAACTTCAAAAGCACAAAATTCTGCAACAATTAACACGATTTAACATACCTGAGATTTTAAGGACCTTTCTTAAACTGAAAGGGCATATTTTAAAAAAAATAAAGATTATCAAAGAACGGCAAAAAGTGAGTTAAATAGAAACAATTATTTAACGAATACCTGAAAAAATACAACAGTGCAAAAAATAAAAAAGTACAAAAGAAATAACAATGAGAATAAAAATGATTAAAAGATATATGAGGGTGGTACCCAAAAGAAACCATACTTATTTTTTTAACTTATTTATTCACATTTTAAGTACAAACCTTGAGTCCCCTTCAAGGTACTCTCCACTTGCACTAATACACATGTCTAATCTTTTATTCCATTTTTCAAAACATTGCTTAAATTCATCTTTTGTGATGCTTGGCAACGCCTCAGTCATTTTTTTTCTTTACTTCAGCAAAGTACTTTCCTTTTATGTCTCTTCATTCTAGGAAACAAAAAAGAGTCACTCTGGGCAAGGTCAGATGAGTATGGAGAGTGATGAACAGGGATCATGCCATTTTTGGTCAAGAATTTTTGGTACAGACAGGCCTTGGGAGTTGGGGGCATTGTCATGATGGAAAAATCAGTCGCCTGACTGCCACAAATCGGGTCTCTTATGCCACACGCTGTTGCACAGTCTTTTCAAAACTTCAGTAGTAGTTTCAAACAGTAGAAAGCCTGGTTAACTATCCGACCCCGTGGAACAAACTCTGAATGGAAACTTATCTCACATTGAGAAAAAAAAAAAAAAAAAAAAGTCAGCATTGTTTTAATGTTTGATTTCACCTGATGAGCTCTAATTGGAAGGTGTTCCACTGGCTTGATTGTTGCTTTCATTCAGGATAATAAGCATAGCATCAAGTTTTGTCACCTGTGATAATTTTTTTTTTAAAGTTTCGATCATTCCGGGACTCTTCTTTCAAAACACAACATGCTTCCATGCAATCTTCTTTTTGTTCAGTTGTCAAACAGTCGTGGCATGAATTTGTCAGCCACTCTTTTTGTTCCTAAATTTTCTGTCAAAAATTTGCTGCGCTTAACTCCAAGTCACTCCCGACAGTTCCACAATTTCTTCAGTGGTTGATCATCAATCTTGGGTGATGATTGCATGAATTTTTCAACATTTTCATGTGTTCGGGCCGTGGAAGGATGATTAGAATGAGGTCTGCCAGTTGGTAGTTCACCTTTTTAAACTTAATTTTTTCCACAGCATCATCCTTGTATGCCATTTTTAACATTTCAAGAGTTTCTGTTCCACTTTTTCCAAGCCACACGCTCTTCACGAAAATCAGCCATTGCGAAAACAACGATCGCACAAAACACTTGTCAATATAAACATCTGAAACTAGTCCTGACCTTCAGTGACGGGATTTGGCTTAATGACTCAGGATGTTTGTTTGTGCGTTCCTAGTGTCAAAACAAGTTGCTATAAAAGCTCTGCCCACTAAAAAATTAATTCGGTTTCTTTTGATTACCCCTTCTTAGAGAGAAGATGTGTGCTACTGGGATGAAACCGAGAGATGAATGGTAAATTTTCTCTTTTCCTGGACCAGCATTCGGCAAAAACAAAACGACTATTCTTTACCTAAGAAAATGTTTCCCAGCAATAAGAAGTTTTTTGAATAAATGAAACTTAAATTATGCAAATTCTATTCCTCAACCCCTAGTAATTTTCAGTATAATTTTTCTTGTTTTTTTTTTTTTTTTTTTTTTTTTAATCTGAACTGTTTTAGTGCATTTTTTTTACTTTTTTTCTTATTGTTAAATTTTATTTCATCCGAGTTGTCTTAATCTACTGCAGATATTTGTAGATTTTTATATGAAGATTCAACCAATGTTTAATCAGTTAATATTTATATTTTTTTTTACTTCATTATATGGTACATAGTTTATCCAGATAAATATTATATATGCTAATTATTAATTTTATTTTCATTGTATGTACTTTGGTAAATAAAAGCTTTTCTTCTCTATTCTGCCCCCGCATTTTCTCGGTATAAAAGCGTAAGAAAATTAAAAAATAAAATTAGGCAAAGAACATAACATTTAGAATGTCTAATTAAATTCTAAAATATTTTATATGAAAATTGTATTACACATAGTTCAGTAACTTGATCATGCATTATAAAGTGAATTTAAATCATTTTGTAGTTGCATTGAAATGGCAATGACGCACATCATGGAAACTCCCAGTTTCTGCCAGTTTTCTTGTGAAAATCTTCAGTTTTTCAGATTTCGAGGTTGGCAGCTATATCTAAAGAAATTATGTAATAGTTTGATAATCAATTTTTCTTCCTTCTCTGTTTATTATAATTGGAGAAGTAGATAATCATTAATATGTATCTGCCATTATCTTAAAAAAATTAGCTTAAAATATATTGTCATTGTTTATATCTCTGAGCCTTGATATTTCAGTTTTAGAAGGGAAATTCCACTTCAATATATTTATTTGGCATGTACAGGCTGAATAGAACCATTATATCAGATTGGATTTTGGGAATTTTGTTTTCTGGTTTTATTCACTATTTGAATGTTTTGATGGCTTTTCTGGAGATCTGGGAAAGCTTAAAAATGTTTCTCATATAAATAAGTGCTCCTGTATGCCATATCAGCCTAATGAAAAGTTTCGGAGTAGGCTTTGCCTTCATTCGGGGTAATTTTTAAGAAGTATCTTTTTTTCAGATTTGCAGCCATCGAAAGAAGGAAATAAAATATTATATTTTTTAGTAACTGGTCTCTGATTGATTGCTTGTCAATTTTGGTGAACTTATTACAAAATAAGCTCAATGCCTTTTCATTAATTTTATTTTTTATATTGTGATTGGTATTTTTCACATAAGATTTTATAAATTCGAGTTGGTATTTCATGTAAGAGTTGAATGAATTTTATCTGGTATTTTCATTTTTAAATATTTTTAATGAATATTTTTTTTCAAAACTATTTGAGATGCAGTTATATAATTTGTGCTTTGAAATCTCTTATCCCTTTTTGTAATGTTCTATTTAACTAACATGTACTTGTTATTGTTTTCTTATATTTTTTTACTTTTCTTTAATTTGGTCTTTCAATTAGTTTTCCAGTATATTTAACTATTTTAAAAATTGAATCAGTTCCTTTGTTTATGATATTTGCTATTTTTTAGAATATTTTAATTATAAATTGATCTTTTAATTCAAAATTCCATTATTGTTTTAGCTTTTTCAGGCAGTCTGAACTTCTGTCATTCAATCTTTATTGTTAAAATTAATTGTATAAACTATTGACAAGTCTGTTGAGTTAAAATCTCTTCCATTTTAAATTAAAAGTGCTGCATTAAACAATAATTTTGTTGTTGATGTTCATTATTATACAGATACTGCTAGGAGAATAAACTTAATCCATATTTGGGCCCCATCAAAGTCATAACTCTTTTACAAAACAAACACTACCATTGTAGGAAATGTTAAAATTTTACTAATTTATTAGTTATAAAAAATTATTCAATGCCCACTTTTCTAGTTTTAAATTCACTTTAATAGGAGTTTACTATTAGAAGCAGAACACTAAATTGTCCTTAATCCTTTTGCACATCTAGCATTTTTTTTTTGGGGAGGGGTGGTATGTTCAAGTAATTTTGCAAAATCAGTAGTTTCTTCTTGTTCTTCAGGGTGGTCTTGAAGTAGTTAGTACATGGAATTGTCATTGAGCAGATGTGTTACTGCTCTCACCTCAGCTTGTTTGAGATGTCACTGCTTGGTTGCAGGTTAGCCTTTTTGCAGTTCTTCAGAAGATTCTTAATGGTTGCAGCAGGCATAGATCTCTTGCGTTTTTTTCTTCACCAGAAGAAACTTTTCTCTAGGCATCTTCATGTCCTGCTTGGCCACTTCTATGCCTGTTGCCTTTGTTTATGCATGGGTGCATTTTCTGTATTTATTTGCATGTGATATGCTGTGTGATACATTTTTCAGCTTGCATGGAATGTTCATTATACCAGGCCATCATTATGTGAAGCATCATTACACCATAAAGCTGTAATTGGTATTTTTAGGACAGGAAATTAAAATTTAATTTTGATATATACAGTTATGCTTCCTTAGCCACTGCATCAATATTTATGGTTTATTGAAGCCTAAACAGCTTAAAAAAAGAAATGAAGGTTTTATAATTTACAGAATCCTTGTTGAGAAAGAATGGGCAATAACATAAAGTGCAGCCCAAATGACACTGCGTGCTATTTTCAAAAAGTAATCTCAATTATGAGTGCATATATATGGTTTGCAATATTGTTTCATTAGTTAAAGAAAAGCTTCATGACTTATGCAATATTTGTCAATAAAGCATGAATTTTGCTGTGCTGTGTTCTCTTCAGCTACAATACTGAGAGTCCCCCCCCCCGTTTTTTTTTATCATACTTTGAGGATTAGATATGAATATCAGGATCTTAAAATGTGTATGAATCTGCTTTTATTTTATTTATTGGTAAAATTTTAATGTGTGCAATTTATTATACACATTTATGTATGATGTAATTGCAATTAATTTGCAAACTGTTGTTAGCAAATATGTATTTTCCTAAATATGTGTGCAAGTTTTACAAGTTAAAATGTAGTTAATTTGAATAGAAAATTTTTATTTCTCATATTAGAAACTTTTGTTTTTGGTTCGAGATTGGAGCTTTCCTTATGAAGCAGAATATGGTGCAACAGGTGGAAAAAAGATTTTGGACAGGAGATTGGAGGTAAGTTAAAATTTATTGTGTTTGATGTGGTATGGGAATATCAAAACATTTTACAAGATATTTTTATAGTTTTGTGATAATAATAATAGGGCTGCAGTACAGAAATTATCATTAGTTTCTTTCTTGACTATGTAAGCATGACTGGATTAAAATTTTCATATTCTGCAGAAAGTAATCATTCCTGAATAAATTGTAAAAAATATGGCAAAGCAATGAATTCAAATTTTTCTAACTTACATCAACTAAGATAAAATTGTACATAGTTTTTTAAATAGTCTGTAGTTTTATTATATTATTTTTCAAATTGCTGTGTTGTTTGCTTCTGATTATATTTAGAAATAAATGCTGTTCCAACTGATTGCAAAAATATTGTAGATTCAAATATCTACATATTGTAGATTATATGTTGTAGATCAGTTGTGCAAAATCAGTAGCTTCTTCCTATTCTTTAGGATGGTCTTGAAGTAGTTAGTATATAGAATTGTTATTGAGCAGATGTGTTACTACTTTCACTTCAACTTGTTTTGGATATCACTGCTTAGCTGTAGGATTAGTTTTTTTGCCAGTTCTTCAGAAGATTTTCGATGTTTGCAGCAGGCATAGATCCTTTACATTTTTTCCCTCCCCCTCCAAATTCAAAATATTGTAGATTTTGTACCAAATGCTGAAAGAAAGCATACACTTAATATTATAGTTTCTTAATTACATAACTTCTTTTCTTAGGATTGAGTATATATATATATAAATTATAAAATATAGGGACGCTTGCTCTTTGTGAACGAGCAACCTTTAATTAACTTTCTGCAATTTCTTTCTTCAAGAAAAACCTAAGAAAAATTATTTAAAGAAGAGTTTCCGAAAAGTTCTATTAAATTAAAATTTTATTTTAGAGTTCTATACTAGAATAGGAAAAAGTTCACTTTTATTTTATGTTAAACATAGTGTCACAGTAATTAACAGCAGAAAAACATAGAATAACATACAAAAACATAGATGCAAAATTAGCAAAATATTACAAGAGGCTTTAAAAGAAAAATGAAGCTAAACAGAGCATAGAACATTTATGTCCTACAAAATTTGTGTTGAAAATTGTAAACATATGAAACTTTTCAGCAATATCATATTAAGTGAATAATACAAAAGTTTTCATTTTTTTTCTGCATATTAAAATTTATTCTTTTTAATCATTCATTCTCATTTGCATCAAGGAAAATAATTTAAAAATTTATTACATTCAGGTTCTGTCTATTTTGGTTTGTTTTCTGTAATAAGTGTAAAAGTGAATGTAACAAAGTTGAGGTTATATTTCATAAATTTGAATCATCTAATTACTCCTGTGTAATCATTTATATTCTTTGAAGATGTAAATTTTCTAATTCCAGTGCTTATCAAATTCAGTTCCCGCCCTTTTCTAAATATGTTCAGTAAATGTACATATTGAAACTATGAATATGACCATTCAGACTGCTATAATTTTTTAAGTGTTGTATTCTGTAATGCTACAGCTTTGAAAATATGTTTTAGCTTGCTATATTTTTAATATATTGAACTAGGAGTTATACCATAAGAAAATTTTGAAGTCATGTCACTGAAAATTCACTTGTGTAGTATAATTCAGGCATTTTCAAAGTCTCATGCAATTGCAGGTTTTTGACCAGTTAATGAATATTTTTCTAGACTTCTTGTAAACATCAGTTTTCAAGTGAATAAAATTGCTGAATGTTATAAATTAAAACTAACTTGGTTTCAGATCAAAGAGTGGATGCAGAGATGTTTTTTAAGTTTTCTGTGTAACATTTTCCCTTCCCCTTACATTTGTTATTTTTCTTAGCAAAATCCTTCTTGAAGATATCTGCATGGTTAGCCATAATATAGCTTTATACAGTTTTTTGTGTAGAATGATGAAATCTAAAGATACTTATCAATACCATGTGTATATCCATATTTATTATAACTAGAATGTGAAATTATTTTTACAGCATTAATGTTACGTTTGGTCTGATTAGTTCCCTTTTGCAATTTGCTGTTATTTAAACAAAAATGTAATAGAAATATAAATAGTTTACATTGTTGAAATACTCTATCTTAGAAAATTATTTTAACTCTATGACTGCAGGATTTGTGACTAGCACCTTCAGTTACTTTTTGTGATCACAGTTATCATGACTTTCTTCAGCACTACATGAGAATAAATATTTTTTCATATTAAAAAAAATTCATTTAAATTATAAGTATAAAAAATGTCCACTGATGTTCAATTTGAGGATGGTTAAAGGATATGTATTTTTATTACATTTTTGTGAACTTTGTACTCATAATGGAGGGTTAAAATAAAAACAGAGAAAAGGAAATTTTATTAATATGTGGTAAATTAAAAATTTTAGAGGCCATGCTTATATTGAAATTGTTTGAAGTTTTTTAGCACATTTACCCTTAGTTTTCTTTTCTGGATGAAATTCCTGAAACAATTTTTTGAGTTAAGTAAGTTTTATTTGCGATAGTTGTAATGCTCTTAAAATGTATTAAAAAATTTTTATGCTGGAATTTGAAAAAGTTGCTGTGCTCATAATAATTTATTTGATTGCAGGCATAAGTTGCCAGTTGCCTTGCCAATTTAATTAATCATTTGTTATTTATCCTTGTTGTATATTATAAAAAAGGAGAAAATTATGTCAGTATTGTCTTTTTGTAATCTTCAATTACTTATGAAAGAGCAATAAAATATGTATTTATGAAAATATTTTAAATATACTTTGTAAAACATTAATCAAATGTAAACAGAACAAATATTTCGATTTGTATAATTACATGTAAAGGAGGAAATTTGTAATCAGAACATTAAATTGGAAGAAAAACATGCCAATGTAAAATTAGGTAAAAAACAGTCTTAGTTTGGATTAGATATTGAATAAACTTGTTGACCAGTTTTGAAGGTGATTAGACACAAATCATTCATCTTCAGGAGTAAAAGAATTTTGCTTATAAATAAATTAGTGTATAAATATATTCAGTTTTAGGTGCGTATTGTCTTTTAATATTAGTTTTGCACGTATATGGTTAATTAATTTTCAAATTATGCCACGTGTCAAGAATAAAAAATGCTATGGCTTTCCAGATATTGCGTTCAAACATTGCATAGTTGGTTTGTTTACATTCTGCCCATAATGCATTATCTCCTGCCCATAAATAGTCATGTTTACATTGGACAGAAATTATATTTTAAAAGAAATATTATTAAAAGTTTGAAAAAATGTGTTCTTTTGCTTACTAGGACAGAAGTTTCCAGTAAGCTTTATATTTAAGTAATTTTTCAGTGAAAAGATGTCTTTAATGGGCCAATTGAAAAGTGTGATATTTTCTTTGTATTTATGTTTTAGTATGTAATTTGTATGTAATAGTTATATTGAAATGTTTATTTTGCATTTTTTAGCTATCAGATAAACAGCATCCTCAGCTTCAGCAGCTACGAAAACACATTAGAAATTGTTTTTCTGAAGTTGAGGGTTTTCTCATGCCACATCCAGGTCTGGAGGTAGCCACTAGTCCACATTTTGATGGCCGCTTGACAGGTATGTGTAATTTTGATATGTTTAACCTTTAAGAGATGGGGCTGTTTGGAAAGGTTTCACTTAAAAAGACAGGAAATCCAAATGCATTTTTACCCCCCCCCCTTTTAGCTGCTGTTGTAAAGGGAAACTACTACTCTTTTACAACTTTTCCTGTAGTTCGCATTTGGGGGTCACCTTTGTTAATTTTCAGATAAAAGACTAGAGGATAAAAAATATAAAAGAATTTGTTGAATTTTTTCTCTTTTCTGTTGTTTCTTTTCCCTAAACTATGGAAACATATTATGGTCAGATTTCGTAGCTAAATAATTGTCGTATGTTGGAATATTAACTTTTGACATTGCTTCATAATGAAAATATGCCTTAGCAGCAAATGCACGCCTATAATCAGTTTCATAGTTATTCAGTTTTTATTTGTTCCAACTGAATTAGTTTAGAATTACATGTCCTAATTAACACTTTAATTATACTCAAAATGATGTTTAACTTGTTTCTCTTATAAATCGGCAGTATGCTTTTATTTGTTTCCAGCATTGTGTAACAGCTTATTTATATATCCAACAATCCCTTGTTTTTTCTTATATTGTTCATTTCCTTTTCTTAGCTTTTAAGTTTAATTTATTGATTCCCCCAATGTATCGTAAGTTATTTCAGATTTCAACTACATTATTGTTCATTGCTACACCTTATTTTATTGATTATATTTTCATGCATTCACTCCATTGTGTTTTGCATGTTTCAAACAGCACTATTAAATCAAAAATTACATAAAAGGGAAATGTAAAGAAAATACATTTTAATGACACTGAAAAGTTGGTGAAATTAATACTAATGTAAAATTGCTAAGATTTCACTGCTGAGGGAAATGAAAGGGAATTTACGAAACCTCACAGTTGGGAGGCGCGAAGGTCATCTTACGTAAGTGGCAAGGGAGGTTATTCAGACAGTGGCTATCTCCGAACCCTGAGGGATGGGGGGAGGGGAATTCGCTAGCCGATATTTCAGCCACAGCCGTTTTTTTGAGACACTGCAACTCTGGCCGATTCTTAGGCCACCCGTCTTTTAAATGTTAATCAATAATGTTTATGAAAACAATTTTTATTTTTTTGTAATTAGATTTAATTGGCTCTGATTTTTAAATTTCTTACAGATATTCGCTCTGAGTTTAAAGATTCTCTTCAGGAATTTGTGAAGCTGCTTTTGTCTCCTTCCAGATTAGTTCCAAAACAAATTGGTGGTCAGTATGTTACTGCAGGAGAACTAATAAATTATTTTAAGGTAAACCAAGCCTAGCCGTGTTTGCTTTTAAAATTAACTTTTGCTAACTTTCATTTCTGTATCTGTGGTTATTTTAAATGTTGGTATTTACTCTTTATCCATAAATTTGTTCAGTAAGACATGTTGTTTTTATGTAAAATTTTTATCTGTATTTCTAGGCTTATGTTGAAATTTTTAAAGGTGGGGAACTTCCTGAGCCAAAATCAATGCTGAATGTAAGCTTTCTTTTAATGCTGTATATTATTTATATTTGCATTGTTGTAAATGTTTTGAAATTATTAGAATATTAGAAATAATATTGGAATTATTAGAAATAAATAAGAAATTTTGTTATGCTTCCCTCCCATTTAAATTTGACCTTATTATTAAAAAAAAATTAGGTATTCTCTCAACAGATAACCTACAACCTGTGAACAAATGTCATGAACAAAACCAAGATTCATCCATTCCCTTAAACCCCCCTCCCCACACACACACACACACAAAAAAAAAAAAAAAAAAAAGAAGAAGAAACAGCAGTACATAAATAAATACAAAGAAATTATACATACTTACTTTTATTGCATTAGCCACCTAAAATAATAACTGTAGAGAAAAAAATATTTAATACTTCTTATTAAGACATCTCATTTAAATGCATTTTTATTTAAATCTGTCAACTTAAAAAGGCAAAACAATATTTAGAACTTCATTTATTGCTTTTCAGTCATGTGTTTAATCAATAGTAGATTAAATTTGAAAATTAATAGTTTTTGGCAATACACTGGTTCATGGAAGATTACCCAAAGATCTATTGCATTACCAGATTATTTTATTAATTTATACAACATCAGCAGAACATAGTCATGTGGTCCGGAAGAGGACCCATCATATCCCTTGGTGGTCGTCATTGTACTTTAAATATGCTAAAAAAGTCCAGTTCAAGTGATCCTATTTGAATTCTGTCTGGTGAAGCAATTCAGCTTCATATTTGTCTAATGGTCATCATTTTACTCTTATAATCAGATATGAAACAGCAATGCTAGCCATTCTTATTTTCATTCATACAAACACTATCTTGATATCTCTCAATATGGCCAGAAATTTGCCTCATTGTTGATAGATTGCTTATTCATTAGGATGATCGGACAGCATTACAAGTGTTGTTCCTCTCATATTGTGTATTATTATTTGTGTAAAATATCGACATGGACATCAACAAATTTCATCTGATGATTTACACTAAGGTGGGTGTATCACAGGATTCATACTCATAAAACTAAGGCAAATAGTGGGTAGGTCAATTGTTGTTGCATGTATTGCTTGGTAGGTCACTTATTGCAAGAATACTCAGTATCATTTGTGACCTGGAAGGCAAGCTTAGAGTTTGCAACATTAATAGATGGAGCATCAATTTGTTACTTTCCCTTTTTTTTCAACTTTTAGATAAAATGAATTAGTAAACATTGCTTTCAATAGGAATGATCACACAAGTCTTATTTTCATTTTGCCTTACTTCAAGTCATAAAGATAAAACATTTAAGATATAAAGATTTTTTGTATGCTGTGATTAGAAAATATATTACGTGATGCCATTTATCTGTGGTCTTTGAATTGTTGATTTTGCTATTCATACATCTTAAAGCAAAACTTAATAATGATGGCTGTCACACTCGGCATTTTTGGATGAAGGTCCACATGTAAGAATTGTAATTAAAAAAGTTGCATGATAAAATTCCTTAAAATTCTCCCAGTATAATATATAGCAGGAATGGCCAAATTTAGTAAGAGCTGCATGTTGTAATTCAGGAAGGTTGAGAGCCGCAACTGGATTTTCCAAAAGCTACAAATTCATATTTATATAATTTTTAAAAGTAGTGAAACGTGTTTCAGGTGGGGGGGGAACAAAAAACCTGATAACTTTGTAAAAAGAAATGAAGTAAATTATTTTCTCTTAGACACTGAGTAGTTTTAGTTTACCATATTTAATACAGATATTTTATTTTTACAAGCTTGCGCCACTTGCGAAGCTGCTCACGAGCTGCACTACGGCCACACCTGTTTTTATGAATGTTTACCACTGTTCTTATGTTACCTTTCTTGTGAATGCTAATGAAAAATATTCAAATTGAGTTTTGATTTTTAGTACAGTTTAAAAGTTGTGTGCTTTTATCATTCACATGCATTTTAAGTTCCGTTATCAATATTTTTTTTTTTTTTTTTTTTGTGTGTGTTTTTATATTGCTTTGTTAATAACTTTCCAAACTTGTAATAAACTTCTTACTTTTTTTTTTAAGGCAACTGCAGAAGCCAATAATCTTTCAGCTGTGGCCAGTTCGAAAGAATTTTACAATAGTGAAATGGAAAAGGTCTAAAATTTTTTTCTTATACTATAGAGTTGTATATTAATTTTAATAACTATGTTGCTAGGCGTTTAAACATTGTTTATAACTTTCAAATGTAGTCAAAGACTCAAAATTGTTGGAGCTAATGCAAATTGAACTCGGACATTGTCAGGCAGGAGATCACTTAGCTTAATATTTCATGTATATTTGGTTCTGCCAGTTTCTATTTCATTTCCATATCATGTAAGCTATTTATGAACTCATTATTTAGATGCTGACTCTAACTATCTGCTCATATTGAAATTTGTGGTGTACATCTGTTAGTCAAGAAAATAAACAAATAAGAGTTACCCATTTTATTGGGGAGTAAGTACAGATGATTTCCAAGTTTAATTGCAGACATTTTCAAAAATGAAGATTTGCATCCAAGAATTTTAATAAGTTTTAACAATTTTCACACATTATTTTGCAATCTAAGATAGTGAAAATACTCTTCTTTAAATTATATCCCAAAAATTTAAAATTTTTAATTGCTTTTGCATATTATTAAATAAATAGCAGTTGGAAAGTTTCTAGGATCCCTTTCCTCAAAAATGTATTAAAAATAACTTTGTTGTAAAAAGATCTCTTGCTGTATTTATGTGCAATCTTAGTTATGCTTTGTGAATTTATATGCATTCTTAATTATGTGCTGAGATTTTGTAATAGTAGTGTCATTTTTAGATTTGTGGTGGTGATCGTGCATATGTAAGCCCTGAAACTTTAAATAAATATCATCAAGAAATACGTTACAATGCCTTACAGAAGTTTTCTGAAACAAAGAAAATGGGAAATGAAGAGCTGGAAAATACATTTAGAGAAAAACTAATAAAGGTTTGTAGCATAAGCCTTTTTTAAATGTTTTTTACGTAACTGATGAGAGTATATTATAATGTAATGCCATATTTTTATGTATTATGTAATAGAGAGGTGATAATCATGACTTGCTAAATGATTTCATAAATAACCTTTTATCAAAAAGCCATATTACTGTATTTATACATGTTGTAAAGTCATTAGGTTATTTTGAAGTAGGAGACATGAAAAATGTTCGGTGCACTCGCCGTGACTTGAACATGGATCTCTCAAATACGCACCAAGTGTGCTACCATCACACAACGAAGGTATGCTGGAAGGAGAAAGAAAATATTAGGTTGTATGTATGCATAAGCTCCATTCATAAATGATGTCCTTGGAACAAAAATGAAATCTTAGAATTTTGCAGAAGGATGAGATTTGAGATGTGTTCGGTAATATGACAGCATCACAAATTCCAAACAAAGGGGGATGTATTGATGGTTAATGCTTATTATTGAATGACTGCTCAGTTTGGCTTTTAACAGTGAGAACACAAAATTATGCACTAACTCATGCACAACATTACTGAAGAAACAAATAATTGCCTTGCTGTTTTTAACTGAACACTACTAAAAGGAAAGCTACTGTCTGGTATGTTGATACGAGTTCAAGATGAAAGCTGAATGACTAAAGAACTTTTACATGGTTGACAGAAATTAGTGTGGTTTCAGTCTCCAAGGGGCCTGCTACATTAGTGTTTCATATTAATTGTTGACAGTTTCTTTGTCATTTGGTTAAAAGCATAACAAAGATGATGAAGGTAGAGAAAGTGACATGGTTGTGATATGAGAAGAAAGGGTTAAAATGATGCAAATACACTCATGTCCATAAATTAAGGATAATTCGGAGTCACACGGAAATCGAACTCTAAAATAAATATATCACCTGTAAAATCGCTACACACATCTTCAAGAATCATATGCAAATTTCAGGAAGTAACCAGATGACATCGATGGTACGTCACAATGACAAGAGTGTAAGAGAGTGATATATAAGGAATACAGGCAAAGAAGTAAAATTGTTCGCAGGCACTTTATAAGCATTTCAGTGCAATAACCAAATAGTTATGATGCAAAGGACGCATTTGGATGATTTTTTACATGGTAGAATTATCAGCCGTCTGAAATGTGGGTGTACCCAACTGGAAATATCAGGCGAACTTGGAACTGCCCAGAGTGTTATCTCCAGGCTTTGGCAATGATTCCAAGATGATGGTAATGTGAGTAGACGTTACAGCACAGGTCACCCCAGAGTTACAACGCCGAATGAGGACCGGTATTTGGCAGTTACTGTCATAGGAAACAGGCAGAGCACAGCCTCAGACCTGTCTCGTCAGCTCTCTTTTGCCACTGGTACGACAATTTCAAGGCAGACCGTGTACAGACGCTTAGGGCAGATTGGTCTATGTGCTCGTAGACCTGTCAGATGCTTTCCACTTACTGCAACTTACTGTCGCCTGCGGTTAGCCTGGACTAGAGAGCATGCATTGTGGACACCGCAACAGTGGGCATGTGTGATGTTTTCCGACGAGTCCAGGTTTAGCTTGCAGTCGGATTCTCGCCGGACTTTCATATGGAGAACTCCAGGTACCCGTTACCAAAAACATCATTGAACGACACTGTTTACGGTGGTGCAGGAGTGCTCGTTTGGGGTGGTGGTATTATGGTTCCAGGATGTAAATGGAAGACACGTTTTTCACGGGGCGGGCATAATTTTTTTATGATGAACGCCCGTCCTCACCAGGCAAACATCGTAGTGTGCAATCGGAGGATATCCCGTATGGATTGGCCAGATTCTCACCGGACTTGAATCCAGCAGAGCACGTTGGGACATGCTTGCCCACGAGTTGCAGCCTGTCAACCTCCTACATGTCTACCAGAACTTCGGAGAGCATTCCTTTTTGTGTAATATCCGAGATCAGATCGCAGGGTTGCAGCACCTGGAAACCTGGAGAACCGGAAAAGTCGGAATTCAAATTGACCAAAATATTCCAGGGAAAATCGGGAATTTAATATTTTTGTCAAAACTGGAGTCAGGGAAGTTCATACACGATCCAGCCAAAAAAAAGCGATTTTGTGCCGACGTCGGAAGAGGTACGTTTTTGGCGATTATGTATCACGTGAGTGTCTTCGGGTAGCTGGCATAGAGCAATTTCGCAGCTCCAATTTGATTGTCTTTTAGAAAGGCAGCAACTTTGGTTCCCATATTCTCGAGAATCTCAGTCAGTGCATGAACTAGAAAGTACCTGTCTCGTTCAAACGAAATGGTTTTAGGGAAACACTTGCATGTCTGATATATCTTGCAAAGCTCGAAAACGGTGTCGAAGTTCGAAGGTCACGTTATCAAGAGTTCATAAAATGAATATCGTTTAAAATTTCTTTAACCACTTGCGCTAAAAGGACGTGCCACGCACGCAGATGCTTTTGTCTCAAACGCGAGCTACGTGAACACGTCGATAAGCATTTATCGCAAATGAAATAACGTGGTGCACGTCGCCTAACATGAGATTGTTTATTTCTCGATTACAGCTCTGGGCACTCGCAGAGGCGGAGCGGCGTAAAAGACACTTACCGCTTGTTATATGTAGCGCACGGCACCGCAACGTGAAGTTTAGTCCTTAGCGCAAGTGGTTAAATCTAAAAGAAAGAAATATTTTTTGACGCAAGTAAATTAATTCATAGATTGGTTATTTCAGGGGGGGAAAAAAAAAACTACGAAAATTTGTTTAAATTTATTTGCGAAAATCCAAGAAAAACGTCCCTTGATAAAACGCAGACGGTTTCGGACGTGGGATTTGGCAATCTGTGGCGTATAACGGTTTTGTCGTGACAAAGGTATACAGTTTTACCGCAAATAAACATTTTTTTTTTTCTTTTTAATATACCTTGCCATTTTTCAGTAAAAAAAAAAATAGTTCAGTCATCTAGGCTAGCATGTAATAGAAAATTCCTAAAATAGCGTGATTTCTAATTCAATTTTAAGTAATTTTTTGTTTTCATAAAATGTCGTTCCTCCCTCTACTTTATTATTATTGTAAAATATTTCCAATTTCAGAAATTTCTCTGGCATAATCTGAAATGTTTAGCAGTATGATGAATACCAAATTGAATGCACATATTTTCCTAATGTCGCGAAATAATATCAAATACTTCAATTTATTAAAATAGATTTCTTTCTTTCGTTTAGCTGCTTTGCAAAAAAACCTTATTTACAGATTGAAGATCTAATTTCAATCTTCAATTGGAGAAAAACAGCACTATTATAATTATATTGTGTTTTCAATGTTAAGGTGCTTTAAGAAAACCTCCGCAAATTAATTCCGAATCTAACCAACTATTAGCAGCGTTGTGATTTATAAGGAGGATTAGCCTTGTTTGAACTGTTGATGATCATGAGTATAAGTAAATAAAACTACATGAAATATGTATTCTAAATTTTTAAGTTTTTAGTGGAAATAAACAAAATTCAAAATACCAATATTAGAATAATTCTCTGTGATTATTAAAATTAAGTGAATTGCTACAATCAAGTAATACCATAATAATTTACCTCTTAGTACACCATAATACGCGGATACTGGAATTTTCTGAACCACACTGAAAACTGAAAAGTCGGAATTTCATTCTCCTGTTTGAGTGGCACCCTGGATCGTAATTTGATATCGCATGCAGCATTGTCGGACTGTATTGATCGTCTGGAGAATACAATTTCATACCACTGGTAATATTGTTTTTTTTTTTTTTTTTTTTTTTTTGTAATTGCTCAAGGAGAAAAATGCTATTTTTTAATAATCAAACATATAGCATCTTTTTTTACCAATAAATAACTTTACAAATAAGTCAATTGTTTGCTTATACTTCCTTGCCTGATTGGCATTATCCTTAATTTATGGACATGAGTGTATTTGATGCATCCATCAGTTGTCCTTTTAAGGTTCATTAATGATGTTTTTCCCACAGTTTGTGGTACAGTGCAGTGGAGATGCTCCTCACTGAGTAGCTAAGTAACCATTCCTGTTTCAGATATGCATATGGATTATGAATTCATGGAAACGAAAAATAACAGGGAAAATGGTATCTGTGTGTTTCATAATCGTATACATTTCGAAAACACTCAGAAGATAAGTTTATTTCAGTGTATCTTGCATCATTTAAAAGTGAAAACACAAATGATGGTGGTAATGAAAGTGAAGTGAAGAACAAAAACAATAGCTGTCAGTAGTACGTCTTATGTGTAAATGCAGTATTTGCTATTTTATAATGCAAGCATACTTTCTTTAATTTATTTTTAATATATCCAATTTTTATGGGCAGTCCACTTAGTTAAATACATTTCCGTGTTTTATATTTTGGTAGCTGCTGTAATATTTTATACATTATTACTGTATCTTATAGGAAGAAAAACACGCAATGTAAAACATAGTTTGCCAACTTGAAGAAGAAGGACCTGTGTCTGATCGCCTTTGAAATTAATAGTTTTATTTAAAATCTATGTTAAAATAAGGCTGTGTTTTAGCCTAATTTTAAATCATTCTTATAGTCAAACAAGACTAGTTCAGTGATTCATAACTGTTAAATGATTTTTGCTGCTTTTAAGTGTTCTAGTGAATAATATCTAATTTTGGTTGTTAATGAAATTGCCTGTTTCGAGAATTTCTTTTCCCCTCCCAATATATTGCAGTATTTCCATAAATTTTATTTAGTTAAAGTATACTCTGTTAATACTCGCTATATTACAAATATTTTGAATATTAATGTATTGAAATTAGAACAGTTAAACTTTAATCAGTGGCGGCCATCTGATGGCCTGCAGACTATAAGTAACTGATGAGATCCCTTTCTGTGGCCCCTTGCAAGGTCGTAAAATTTGTTGTTCTTGTAATTACTGACATATTTGTTATACATGTACATTGATTAACCAAAATATTATGACCCCTCCAACATGATAAGAATGTACTTCTCAGAATGGTGTAGATTGCACTTGGAGAGGTTGGGATATTATTCAGCATTTGGGGGGGGGCTAAGGCATTATTTTGTTGATTACATATGCAAGGAATAAGAAAGACTGTTGACTTAAGTCGAAACACCAGATTGTGATAATCTGAAGGCTAGGAAAGAATATTTCCAAAATGTTTTTTCATGTCTGGTATTTATGAACTACCATTGTTAGTACATATGAAAAATGGAAGAAAGGCATGGAACCAATATAAGTGCTAAAGCACTGGATGTCTGTCTTATCTGTGAATGCATACATTGAAGATTTCTTTGCTTTGTAAAGGCTAATCGGCAACTGCTGGTGACACAAATAATCCCTTGTTGCTCCAAGTATATCTGAGCACACAATCAGACTCTATTGAATATGAGATCCGCAATACAGGAATATCTTGCATGCCTTTGTTAACCCAGTATCAGTGATAGTTTCACAGAACTGTTTTACTGTTAGTAGATCATTTCTATTTTGTTTAATTGTTCCTAAACCTTGGAATGCCAAAAATTTCTGAAGCGCTTTTTGTTTGAACTAAAACTGAATATATATTATATCTGGTATTCTTCTATCTTTTTAGAGAGTTTAAACATTTTTCAGTAGTTCTGTGGCTACTCAACATTTGATAAGTTATGTAATTTTGTATTCATGAAGAGCTTATGCATTAATTTATGCTGTAAATAAATTGCTTAATATATTATCACTAATATAGCAACTTTTGCTTTTAAAGTACTCTTCTAAAATGCATCTGATTGAAATAGGGAGTATTTCCAACATTAGTAGTGTCAGGCTTGTCTCGTAAATATTCTCTGTATTAACAAAGTATTTGATATGCATCATCTCTTTCCCATGTTACATTCACAGTTTGCCTTTATGTTCCACTTCTAGAGATAGAAAAATAAACAATAATTGATATGAATGAAATGAGATGTCAAAATATGTATTTAACATATCAGACACTTGCATAATTTATTAGCTGTGAGAAAAAAAAATAAGGCAATTTTTTGCTTAAATATTGGTTTTCATATATTAAGAGCAAATATGTGCATGGCCTATATTAATTACTGTAGCATTTCTTTCTTCCGTTTCAATACACATCTTTTTAAAATAGCAGTTATTTGATATCAATTTGAAACATCATACTGGGTGTTTTAAGAGAACAAAATATGATGACTATAACTGAAAATTTAAATGTATGTTGCACATTTTTGGTTAGAGAAATAGCAATATTAAGATAAACTTAAATTCAGTGAACAAAAGCATTTATTGAAAAAAGTGCATATGATAAAATGTAAGTAATTAAAACTTCAAAATTGTATGTCACATGGAATGAATTCAATATCGCAGGTCAGGAGAACATGTTAGATTTATTACTTTTTTGTGCTTTAGAATTTTTAATTGACTACATATTGTATAATAGTGATTGATACAAAGTTTAGATTTCTGTATGTGGTTAGATTGAATATGTATCTGTAGCTTTCCCGTTGTAATTGTATGTGATGACATATGAATGAGCCTCCTAAAAATCACATCCAGTGTGTGTTCTGTAGATTATAAATTCAGCGATTATACAAGCCATTTATGAGTACATTGGAATTGTGCATGTAGTAGCTACGTAAGAAATGATGAACTGTATAGGAAATAAGCAGTAATATTACCTTGTTTGAATGTGGATCCAGGATGGTCCTATAGGAGTAGTAAAACTTCTGGTTTCAATAGTTCATGAATGTAATATGGTTTATTCATAGGTTTTGTAGAAGGTTGAGAGTGAGAATGAAATGTGAAAGCACTTTATATCATGTCACTGATGGTAAGCCCTTAAATGATATTGTACATTACAGCCTTTCTGATAGTGATTCTGTTAGTGAATAAAGTTCTGGCTATCGTTATACCTAGACTCATCAGAAATGGTAGTTTGCTTCCATTAGCGGTCTTAGTATTTTTGTTTCATGCATTATTGCAGTTTTACATCAATAATAGAAAGTCAGTGAAGTCGTCTGAAGAGGTTGGTGTTTGGAGAAGAGAGATGGAATACTCTTGGACCTACCCTAGGATATTCTCCCTCAAAATAGGGATAGAACTGCATAGTTAGTGTGGCGGACTATACGTGTCAGCCATCGGGGAAATTCTGGTGTCCTGCTAACTTCTACCTGTACCTGTCTTCCATTCTTGTGTTAATGCTGTAAAAGTTGCTGATTGATCCTTTACCATTATGTGTGTCAGTTATTTGTATTTTTCTTCTGTTATCCCTACAGATGTACGGATAGAACAGATGTTCCAGCACCTCAAACCTATGTGTTATACCTTCTTTCCACTGGCTTTTATTATGTAGAACTGTACTAATGTACCATCCAAACATGTGATTTCACAGTATGAGAACTGTGCCTTCTGTCGGATGTATATCTCTTCATCTTTTGATGTATGTTACTTATTTATAATGTTGTCTTGTTCTGTGTTTAAGAATGATTGCAATTGATTTTGCTGATAAAATAGTTGAAATATTTTGTGGCCGTTTTATATGCTCAGAATCAGGTAACAGCATTGATTTATGCGGGAAATAATTTGTTCTCATCTAACAATGCTAAAACTGAAGTAATATTGTCAACAGTGTTGAAGAAAAGAAGGTATTTATAGGAATATTTTGCACATGCACCTTATATGCAGACAGTGCAAGAATGATTTAGGAGATGTTTAATTAATGTTTAAAATGTAAAGAGTATTTTTTAAATGTTTGATCCGGTAGCCTTTTTTCTGAACTACAATTCCACATTGTGATTTCTCCGATAGAGGGGTTTTCATATAATTTCCAGGGATATTTATTTCCATTCTTCTTCTACTACTTACTAGAGTCAATCATAGTGGCTGTGCTCTTCGAAAGAGCTCTTTTCAAGAGATCAAAGACACAACAGATCATAGATGAAACATTTGCGGGAATAGATTGAAAAAGTATTTATGTTCAATACCTGTATCCGTCTTCATTTTTTCAAGGAATGCAGTGATACTTTTTGAATTATGACTTGTTGCTTTGTCTTGATGAAGTCTCATTCTTTGAAAGACATTAGGATAAAAGAAATGGAATTTCTTCTTTAACTATAGAACATAAAACTTTTTCTTGATGGTATGTTGAGTTTATTTCAATATTTTTTCCCACTCTTGTTATTTTTAATTCCCCATTGTAAGAAATTCTTGTGACAGTCATAAACTGATTGCTGAAACTTTCTTTGCATTCATGGAACCAGGTTTGCACATTTCTTTCATCGTTTTTAATAATAATTAGATCTCTTTTGTTGCAGTCGTTTAGGTAAACTCATGCTTTATTAAGGGTCAAGATGTGTCTCCATTTATATCCTACTAAATAGTTTTCATACTGGGTTCTACAAATCGTTTTGCATACTTTTTTGCTTTTGTTAAGTTGCAAATCTTATTTTATTTATTGTTGCTACAGAAATCTTTAAATACTTTATAGTTGGTTTCTGCATCAGTGGATATTCTATTGTTACCAATGATTTAAGTTTAGAAACATTAAGAACAAACAGTACATATTTTTTGAAGTCTTCTTTCTGTGCAGAATTAATATGTTTTCCTTTCTGATTATTAATGTTGCTTATTTTGCTCATAGAAATTTTAATATCGTGCATTTGATAGCATTTTTTGATAATAGGAATTTTTTCTTCGGAAAACAGAAAAAGCCTATGTTATGTTCAGAAATTTTTATTCCAAAACATTTCCTTTTTTTAAAATTTCTTAGCAAAATTATTGTAAATATGTGTAAAATACCCTCTGTACTTTTAATGGAAGGTTTTTTTTTTTTTTTTCAATACTTTACTTCTGTTTGAAATTCTTAGCACTTGTATGAAATACCTTTTTATAATTTTACATTACCCTTTTCAAACTTCAATTTTGTTTTTGTTAGGAAATCGATGAAATGTATAGCAGTTTTGTTCGTTTTAATGATGGAAAACAAATAGCACATGTAATTCGAACCCCTGGTACTTTGGCTTTCATCGGTCTTATTTGTTATTTGAATTCAGCACTACTACGAGCTTTAGGATTAGAAACTTTTGCAGTTTCTGTCAACTTCTTCTTGATAATGGCTGTGGTTGCTCTGTCTGTCTGGGTCTACTGTAGGTATGTAATGAAACTACTTAATTTAGTAATACTGTAAAACATAAGAAACTTTTCTTTTGCTTTTTTGTATTTTTTAATCCTTATGCCTGCTTTTAAAATCATTATTAATTTATGAATGCATTATATAGTTATTAATAAGCAGTGTATTGATGGTTAAATGTCATATATCTACTATAAAGTATGCTGAATAAAATGACAGTCCAAAGCTTTGAATAAATTAAATATATTGAGCTTTTGAATGTTAAAATATTTAAAATCGAATTTATTTAATAATTTTTTTATTATTATTTTTTGTTTTTTGAATCCTTGAATAAGGTTTTACTTTTTGAAGATAGACAATTATGATATGAATATAAATATTCTTTTCATTAATAATAGAAATATTAAGATAATTTTTTTGTAGAAATATAGTATTTGTTTTATTTAATATATATAATAGATATGAAGGTTTTAAAGTGTAATGTTACAGTAGTAGGTAAAAATATGGTATCTTGAAATTTTCAAGGAACTTGTTAGGAAGGTGACCATTATAGTGTGGGTAAATAAAGTAGTACTATTTGAAAGCATTTAGTTTTGGAACATTTAAAAATTTTTTATTGCTGTTGGTCAAAATTATTTGGGGGAAATAAAAAGGTTATGTAAGAAAGAGGATGTTTCTTAAGGATTGTTTATGTTTCTTAAGAAGGAAAGTTATGCATCATCTAAATCAGCATAACTTGTTAAATATAAAGTAGGAGATTGAAATTAATAATTTGTACGATTTTGTTTTCTTATTTCCAATTGTTTTACCCAAAGGGCAATTTCCCCTGAAGACTATTAATTTTCGTTTGGCATTTTGCATTGAAAACAAAAAAAACTCTCATCACTTTTAATTGTTGCCGCCAAATATTAAGAGCCCTCTATTATATTTAACGAAATTATATGAAAACTGCATAAATTAGGTATGTTGCGCTTATTGTGTAAACAACGTGACCTAGACCATTCAATTTTAAAACATGCTTTTCCACCCAAATATGGCATCTGGACGCCCATTTGGATTTGTTTTATTATCTATTTCATATTGTCAAACTTAACAATTTTTATTAACGATCTCAATGATTTAAAGCGGCAATGGCAAATTTACAGAAAAAAACATTTTTATCTCCAGTGCGCGAGACTGTGATGGAAATACTAAAGCTGCTTTTTTACAATTATTTTGCAATATTGCTTTGAACTGATTTTATGCTTTAAGTGCGAAGAACAGATATTTATAAATAAAGTAACTACAAATGTTAAAAAAATGCGTCCTTTGACTATTTTAAAATCTGAATTTGGTGTTTGTCTCTGCAGGACTATTGTTTTCGTTTTGCGATTTTGCGTTGAAAGCTTTAAAAGGCTATATCACTTCTAAATCATTGTCACCAAATACTATCACCCTATATTATATTTAAAGAAATTAAAAATGAAATCTCATAATGTATGTATGTTTCTCGCATTGTGATAAAACGATACCTAGAGCCATCCAATTTTGAATGAACGTTATCCTATTGTGAATATGGGTATCTGAATGCCCAAATTTGAAATTTGTTTTATTATCAATTTGATATTTTTTAAAACTTTAACAAATTTTTGATTAACAAACTCGAGGATTTCAAAGCGACAGGGCATGTTGTACAAAAAACATTTTTATCTGCAGCACGTGAGACTGCGTATCGGAAATTCTGAAGACATGCTCAATTTAAAATTATTTTGCGATATTGCTGTTGAACTGAGTTTTATGGTTTAAGTGTGAAGAACTTAGTATTTAATAAATAAAGGTAACACACAAAATGTTAAAAAAATGCCCCTATGGACATAATTTAAAATTGAAACCTTTCAGTTTTTTTTTCCTTCTTTGAATCTAATTTGATTAAATTCATAATATAGCTAATTAATATCTGCTGTATATTTTTCACTTTTAAAATATACAGAAGCTATATAACATTACCATGTTAATCTGAATGTGTATTCAGGTAGTAACCTATAAAATGTTTTGCTATTCAATCTTAGCCATCTGTATTGATAATCTTTGCTGGTAAATAATATTAAACTTTAAGAGACTATTTTAGTGAACCATTAAAATCTAAACCCTTTCAAATTAAAAGAAAAAGAAAAAAATCCCTTTTTCCCTTTTTTTACTTTCTTCTACAAAATAAAGGAAATATTGTAATTGAAAAAAAAAAAAATCTGGTACTGTATTTCAACAGAAACACACATTTTTTTTTTTTTTTGTGTGTGTGTGTGTGTGTTGTATTGTATGGCGACTAATACTTACTCTTTTTTTTTTTTTTCCGAAAAGAATTTTTTAGACCCTGTATTATCTTGCATGCTCAAAATGTTTAACCATGGATTTTAATTTTTTATATGGACTTCTTTTTTTTTTACTGTAATCATAATAATCAACATGTGTATGATTAATAATACATAGTGTTTTGGTAATATATATATACACATATATATATATGTGTGTGTATATATATATTATAAGTAAAGTTATATACACACACAGACCGATTCCCTTTCCAGGCTTAAAAGTCCTTCCCCGATCTTTATTTTCACAATTAGTGGTCGGAGTCGTGTCCTTTCAGCCATATGTCAATTATAAAAGTATTTTTGTCATTTTTTTTTTTTTTTTTAAATTGATCGACAAATAATGAAATGTAACTTCATATATAATAACAGTATATATATATGTAGGTAGTCTAATAATGAATATCTAGCAATATTTAATGTCAGTTTATTGTTGTAAATGTCTAACAATAATATCAGTTTGTTGTTATTCTAAAAATATTTAATGGACCATACAAGAAAATCATGTCCACAAAAGGGTTTTTTTTTTTTTTTTTTTTTTTTTTTTTTTTAAGTTAATTGTAGTAAAGACCATTGAAAAATGATAGCTGTTTCTGAATCTTGTGGCCATCTGACAGGCTACGTGATGTTTATTTTCTTTACATATAACATGACTATGAACCAGGTTTTCTTAGAAATTCTTCTATGAATGTATCACTAATAGGCCTTGTGTTTTGTCATTATTAAATAATTCAGTCCATTTTCCAAGTTCAAAAATATGATCGATTGTAATCTGGCTTCATTTTAAACAAGTGTGTTCATCCAGTGTTACATAAGAAGTACTTTCCTGTTCTTGAACGTTTTCAGCTAGTAGTAGAGATTATGGTTAATGTGGTTAATGTAGGTAAGTTACTCTGGTTAGAATGCCACAATGAATTTTTAATGAAGTATAAGTTAATGGAGCTGCAAGGAATAAATTTGCTATTTTATTAATGAAACTGTTATTGAAATTTATTTTTCCCAAACTAACATAAAAGCTGTCCTGTTACTTTGTCACTGAGTCTTGTTTTCCATTCTTTGTAATTTAAAATGCACAATGAGAATGTCCGGTATTTATTTCTATAATAGATATAGCAGTATATATACTACAGAGTTGCCAACTCTCCCGATTTTCAACCGCTCTCCCGCCAACCCGATTTACAATATATTTCTCCCGACTTTTTCTTATTCTTAAAATTTCTCACGATTTTTAAGGAACTTGGCTTAATACTTCGTTATATGACCAAAAAAAAAAAAAAAAAAAGTGATTTTGTACTTTGAAAACAGTGAATGTTTTCTATATTATACCTAACAAACTTGCGATCAATGAACTTTTTCTGCTTTGTGAGTGAGAGCATACGTATCCAGAAACGTCGTTCTCCAGTTCTCCAATGGGCATGGAGCTCCACTGAGTGTCATCTGGCATGTATTGGAAAATAAGGACAAAGCAAGCTGTTATTTGGATGTTCTTTAGTTATTTGTTCTGAGTTGTGCGAGTACACGTGCTTTCAGGAAATAGTTTAATAAATTTTTCTCTTTTGTTATGTTTGCGAGAAAGGTGAAATACTCGTACACGGTTCAAAAATCGTACATACTTTCCTTCCATTATTTCCTCAAGCAAATGTAATAAATTTGCAATATGTACCGTCTGTCATTGCGATTTTTCAATTTCGCCTGGTAGAAGGGCGGATGTTCTCAAACATGTGTGTACACAAAGACCACACAAGTTGTTTTGAAAAAAAAAAAAATTACATTTTTCTTTGGAAACAAAGGCCCAAAAAGTTATTAATTTATTTTTACTGGAGCACAACATGCCACCGAATGCATCGGATCATACTGCAGTTTATTTAGAAAAATGTTTCCTGATAGATAGTGAAATCGCTAAGAAATACTCAAGTACAAGGACCAAAACAGTGCAATTATTAAAGAAATGGGTTTGAAAAATAAATCTTCAGTTATTGATTGCATTAAAACAGCTCTGTTCTGCCTCTTTACGAATGGAAGCAATAATACCGATTCAAAAATGTATCCATTGTTGTTTCTTCTTTTTTTTTCCAGAGTCTTCAGAATTGAGTGGCATTTTACTTCTTCCCCACTTTAGAGGGACATTGACATCCTTAATATAGCAGCAGCACGCTAATTAAAATTTAAAAGAAAATGCAGTCCCTCTCAATATGCTTAGCACTTGTGCAATAATTCACCATATTGTAGGCTTGGAAGACTGTGTTGCAGGCATCTTAAGAACGGAAATTGAGATGCAATTATGAGTACACCTGTCACCTCTAATTTAGCAGCTGAAAAGGGGAACGTTCTGTACCAATAATTGGATGAACATTGTAGATTTATTATTATCTTGACGGAGTTTAAAAGGAAGGAAAATTGAAACAGTTCCACAGCTCATAATATAGTGCTGACGCATTAGAAAACTTTATAGTAAACAGCCACGTGGCAATTGCTATGAACAAAATTAAGTTTCTTAACGAAAGCAAAATCTGCCACTGTTCATAACATTTGTACAAAAACTGATTAAAGTGCCCTTTTTTTTTTTTCCTTAAACGATGCAAATAATAAAAATGTTTTTTATGTGCAAGCAACACAAAAATACCTTACACATAAAAAATATGTGTAAGGTATTTTTGTGTTGCTTCATAAAT